GCAAAGGTGCTGGCCTGCTCAAGGTCCCATCACTGTGAGTGAAGAGACCATTCAGTGCTCGGTCTCCTCATTGGACCGCGATGGCTACCCAGGAGGACGCAAGAAGGAACCCCAGGAGTTCTGAGGAGGAGAAAGTATTGGAGGACTTCCTGCAGGAGGAGGAAGCCATCGTGGATGGCTGGGGGTAAAGAAGAATCTCTCAGAGACAGACCAGCCCAGCTATGGTCCACTCTGTGGTCCATTCCCCACTTCTCTATGTGACCTGGAGCGGGTCGGAGACCTGGCCCAGCCTCAGTCTTCTCACCTGTGAAATGAAGAGATGCATGAAGCCAAAAACGAGGGGCAGGAGCAGCAGCACCTCGCTGACCTCTCAGCTCTGCTCCTCCCACGGGTGTGTGGTGACTGTCCCTGCTATCCCCTCTCCACCTGGCCACCCCACGCACAGCCTTCTGGCACCCCCAAGCAGCTTGCCCTCTGCTAAGCTAAGTTCTCGAGACTACCACCAGCTGTGCGCCCACTTGTCCCAGCGTGCTCCAGTCCCCATCATTCTGGGGACTCAGGAGCCCTTCCACACTCCCCACCCCAGGGCTGGCCGCTCTTCCACGTGCCCACAGCGGTCAGCAGTATCATCGTCAGCCTCCTGGGCCACCATGCTCCTTAAGGCCTGTCCCCAGCTCCGGGGCTGGCCTCGCAGAGACGGCTTGGAAATGTCTCAGATCACATTAGGGCAAGTGAGGCCCCTTCTTTTGGTACCAGACACCCACACAAAAAGCCTTGCTCACGTACACAAAGGAAAGCCACACTGGATTCTAACCCAAGTTCAAGGTAAACCTCCGGCTGCTCTGTTCATTTATCCAAAGTGGCAGGTTTGGCAGAACAGACAAATCTCTGAGGAAGAATTCAAATCAGCATGGGCCGCCACACCCTGGGGTCAGGAGCAAAAGACCCACCCCCCACGCATAGACTCTGCACAGGTGTCTGCTCCCATAAGGACAAAGAGAATAAGAAAAACTTGACTGCCCAGGAAGTTGGTGTCTCCACCAGCATCACCAAGCTCAGGTGACCCAGGTCCCCTCTCAATGGCCTTGAGGCATGTTCCCTGCATGTGGCACACGGAAATTGGCACGACCCCTCTGCCATCCTCTACCCAAAAGCATCTGCCTTTGGTGAACTCTTGAGAAAATCACTGAACTAATCCCAGCTCAAGAACATCTGACAAAATGCCCAAACCACCAAGATCACTCAAAACATGGAAACCTTTGAGAAACTGACAGGGCCAGTAGAAAGAGACCTCGGCAGCGAGTGAAAGCTGAGGGTGGCATGGTCCTTCTGAGGGAGCCCTGCATGGGATCCCCAAGCAGAGCTAGGATGCAGGGTGGGGAAGCTGGAGAAGTAGGGATGGAGTGTGGCCATCAGGCAGCAACAGGTGTCCACATGATGAATCCGTTGTGACAAGTGCTCTAATAATGAAAGCTGTCAGTCACAAGGGGAGCTAGGCAGACGGGACACGGCCTGAGCATCACATTCACAGCCCTTCTGGAACTAAAACTGCTCTACACTAGAATGTCTATTTTTGAAAGCAGTGCACATTCATAGCAGAAGCGGCAAATGGGAAAGTGGAAGAGCAGTTGCACAATCCCGGAGGCCAGAGACGGCACCGTGAGTGGTGGCCCTGCTGCCTCTCTGTTCTGTTCTGACACATCCTGTTTCCACTCGCTTGAAATCAGCGTATTTTTATTTATTTATTTTTTAACCACAACAGGTGTAACCTTTCTATTTGGGCAACACACTTTCAGTGACAGGCTCCTTGAGGACGAAGGGCAGGAGACATTTCCAGGTAAGAGGGTCTTCTGGGTAGAGGCGGGGAACAGGGAGGGAGCCCTTATCTTCTGCCACCTACTTGAAGCTGATGACAAGCCAGGACCCCAAACACCCCTCCAGGAAAGTCCTCTGCCTTCCTGCGGGTGGGAGTGGCCAAGAAACCCTCCAGCGAGGCAAAATCACTAGGAAGATCTCCCAAGTCAAGAACTGACTTGCCCACACCCCCCCCCCACCCCTGCCCTGGAGCACCAAAGGGTTCTTGGGCAGTAACGGCCCCTAGACTCGATAAAGTGTGACGCTGGCTTTGGACGTCAATTGCCCGATTTAACCTTCCCCAGAGGGGCCCCACAAATAGCTCGCCTCTTGCAGAGCCGTCACCCGTGGCTGGCTCCAGATGATGACGGATGCAGGCAACTGGCACATCTGGAGGACAGTTTCTCTTTCCCATCCAGATCTTCAAGGTCCTGCCTCACACCTGCTGCCTGTCCACTGGGCCACAGGAAAGCCCCCAGCTCAGCCCCTGTCCTTCTGAGAAGACACAGAACGCCCCCTGCCCCACACCAAGCAAAGGGGAAAGGAGAGATCCACACCGCCATACCCTAAGCAACCCAGATCACAGAGCAGCCAGGCTACTCTACCGCCTTCTCTTGCCCTGGAACCGGCCATGGCTCCCCCGTGACTCATATCAGAGGCAGTGAGCCTCACCTGGGAAGGACAGTGCCCAGGTCTAGAAACCTCTTTGGCTGTCATCACTGGGGAGGCAGTGTGGCTGCTCTGGCATTCAGCAGGTACAGAGCAAGGGTGCTGCTGAACTTCCTCACAGGCAATGTTCAAGACCCCAAGCCAAGGAATCATCCCCAAATATCAACAGCACACCCCAAGGCCACACCACTCACTCACCCTATCCCTCAAGGTTGTATCACTCCCCTCCTCCCCAGCCTCCAGGTCAATGTCTGTGCAGCCCCCCACCCCCACCCCGCAAGCTTCATACACCCTCTCTTTGCTCATGCTATTTCCTCCACATCCCTGCTACCCACAGCAAAATCTGTATCCCCTACAAAGGCACCATCTCCAAGAAGCCTTCCCTCCTGCCCTGGACCCAGCTCTGTGGATGGGGCCTGGCTCTCACTGCAACATTGTTGCGGGAGGACTTGAGACTGCAAGATCAAGAAGAAAGTTGGTGGCACCTGGGCACAAGTGGACCTGTGTAGACCTTTCCATTCCACCCTGCATCACTCAGCCACATGGAAACATCAGAACATACAGCAAAGAAGCCTGCTTCCTGCTTCTCTAAACATCGGGAAAGCAGTCACAGTCCCAAGCCCTGGTTGACATCAACCAGCAGGAGCAAAGGGCCTCCCAGGCCCATCTGTCCTACCTGTGCTCACGTGTGTGACCCGCCTGGACTCTGTAAAGGGTACACAGAGGCTGGTCTAAGAAGTCACAGTTAGTGACTGAGCTGGGGTAATATCAGGAGAATGACCTCTGTGGGGGGAGGGGGAAGAAAAGTATGCAAGGAAGGGAAGTGGGGACATCTCTGCATACATTTCTATCCCTGCAAGAATGTTTTGGTCTCCAAGCTTGAAAATCCTACAGGGGCCATCATGGCGGCACAGTGGGTTAAGTAGCCACTTGTGACACCAGCATCCCATATGAGCACCAGTTCCAGTCCCAGCTGCTCCACTTCCAATCTAGCTCCCTTCTAAAGTCTTGGAAAAGCAGCGGCAGATCATCCAAATGCTTGGGTCCTACACCCACTTGGGAAGCCTGGGAAAAGCTTATGACTCCTGGCTTCAGCCCCACCTACCCATCTCTGGCTTTTCCAGCCATCTCTAGGGAATGAACCAACTGATGAAAGATTTTCATCTCTCCCTCTGTCTCTCTAACTCTGCCTTTCAAGTCAAATGAGTGCATCTTTAAAAAAAGAAAGCCCTATTGACTTGATGTGGGAATCAGCCAAGATGTTATTTACTGCTCAACTCTGACCCGGGCAGCAGCTGTGCAGGACCATCTGTGAGCTCCCCGCCCTCCCCGGAACCACTGTCCCAGGGTCGGCCAAGTCGCCTTCAAGTGGGCCAGAACAGGTGCATGCTTGACCCCCACCTGTAGTGCAACATTCAATTGTGAATCAAGCCCCGTTCCACCTGCTGTGGAGCCATCCTGTCCTCGAGCTTCTCAACCTGCCACACGGGTATTTTAGATAAAAGGAAACTGACACTCAGACGGGTAAGTGGCCCAAGGATGTAGAGTGAGGAAATCAGGATTTGCACACAGGTGCTGTGTGCTAACCACTGAGTGGCATCGTCTGCTGAAGGCTGGGCTCCTGCCTGTAACAGGAAGCTGAGGCAGCCAGGGCTCAGCCGTTTGGGGCAGCCCACCACAGCGTGCAAGCCCAGGCTGATTTTGAGGAAGCCCTTCCAGGCTCATGATCAAACTGCCAACCACAGGTCCTGAGTCACCCAGGAGGAAGGAGCCTGGGGGTGAGGGACAGAACAGAGCGGGGACCCCAAGCTTCAGCCACCCTAGACAAAGAGGAAGCTGTGGCCTCGGGGGCTGTCACTGGGTCCCCAGGCACTCCATGAGCCACAGATGACAAAGCTTTCATGCTGCCTGTGTGCACTGGCCTCCAACAGGCACCCTGGGAGACCAAGCCAGACACCCCACTCTGGCTTCTTAACTCAGAATGGCAACTTTTCAGTGCTGGAGAGGGGCAGAAGTTTAATTTATGATCCTCCATAATTCCCCCTCCCGATCCACTGGAAGCTCAGAACGAAGCTGCTGATGTCTGGGTGTCCAGAGTAGCCTGTGCATGCTAGCTGCCCCTGTGGCCGACCTCACACCCTAGAGCCCGGACCAGCCTGCACTCCCCCAGGCCTCCCAGCCCCTCAGCGTGCACTTGCACCTGCTGCTTTGTGTGCAGCCATAACCTTGTGCCCCCTGCTTTGCCTGGCTCAGCCAATATAGACACCGAGTTGCAGTGCGAATGTTGCGTACGTTCAAAGCTGCAAGACATACCAATCCTGCCTTTGACAGAGGGGGAGACTGAGGCCAGAGGGTGGAAAGGGATGAGCCCAAGGTCCCATAGAGAGGTGCTGGGCAGCAGCCTTCCCTTGAAGGGGTGTGCTCTCTCTCTCTCTGCATACACACACACAGGTCCCTGGGGCCAGCTGCACACTCACCACATGGTAGATGGCCAGGGCCATGGTGGCAATGCGGACATTGAAGCAGCAGCAGGTCTGGCGGACGGCGGCCATTTGGAGGACCATGGTGCTGCAGTCCCCTCCTCTGAGGCTCTGAGGAGAAGGAACCCGGTGCCTGGAACAGAGCAGAAAAGGGGAAGCTGTCTGCTCTGTCCTCACTTCCGTCCTGCCTCCCAGAACTGGGGCGGAGCCACTGAAAAAGGGCTGGGGAAGGACCCCACCCAGTGTTGCCTCTGCCTCTCTCTCTCTCTGTCTCTCTCTCTCTCTCTCTCTCTCTCTCTGTGTTTCTCAGGAGCGGCCCCCAGGGAGAGCAGACCTGCTCACCATCCATACCCCAGGATCCCAGGCTTACAAAGAAAAAACATGCAGGTCCAGAGAGGTCAAGGCACTCCCCCCAAACCACACAGCAGTTAACACCTGCAAAGGATTCAAACTTGTAAAACTAGTTACATCTGGCAAATCCTAAGCATGTTTCTGGAGTAACTTTTATCCTCATCTCAACCTTTGGGGACAGCAGCTGCCATTATCCCCATTTTCACATTGAACAAACAGAGGCACAGGATGGGGACGAGATTTGTCTGGGGTCATGCAGCTGGGACTGACCCCCTCTGGCAGCCTGAGACAATCCAAGTCCCCTCTGTAGGTTCCAAGGTCCCTGCCACATGATCCCACTGTTTAATCGGAAGTAATAAGCCTGGGCTGTATGTGAACTGCCCAGGGCCCTGCACATCCTTTCTCCACACTGCGGTCAGCAGGGGAGGACAAGACATACACACAGGCCCACAAGAAGCCCTGCCTTATCCCAAAGCTGAGCTCCCAGTGGACAAAATAGAGCAGGGCCCACCCTCCTGTAAAGTCAGAGGTTTTGGATTGGACAGCACAGCAGTCCATCGTTTCTACCCAAGGAGAGGTTATAGGTCTCTTGGCTCCTCCCCCTTGGCAGGAGTTGCTCTTTGGACCCACACACCTTAGCTGCTACATATTTTTTCTTCTTCTTTCTTTCTTTTAAACATTTATTATTTATTTGAAAAGCAGAGTTATAGAGAAATGGGAGAGAGATCTTCCATCTGCTGGTTCATTCACCATATAACTGCAATGGATGGGACTAGGCCAAACCAAAACCAGGAGCCAGGAACTCCAGTCTGATCTCAGGGGTGAGTGGAGGGGCCCAAGCACTGGGGCCATTTTCCATTGCTTCTCAGACACATTGCTGGAGAGTTGAATGGGAAATAAAGCAGCCAGGACTCGAACCAATGCTCTGGCATGGCTTGCTGCTATCGCTGCACCACACCAGCTCTGGCTGCTATACTTCCTAACCCTTCCGCCTTGGCTAGTGAGACCAAAGGGTTCTGCCAGGTTGAGGATCTCAGGAGACTCAGCCAGTGGCTTCCATACTCCTTCCCATCCTAGATCTGGCTGAGACCTGACATCACAGTGAACTGGTACCGTGCTGTGATGAACTCAGGCCCCACACGCTCATGGCCCGAGTTACAATCCTGGCCCCTCTGCTTGAGTAGCAGACATGGCAAGCCTCATTTTGTCCCTGAGCAGCAAGGTCAGAGGGATTAAGATTGAGAAATCAGGGGCCAGGAAGACCCTGCAGTCACACTGAGAGTCTGGAAAACCATTGGAGGGACCCCAAGGTCTCTCCCCACCACACCATTGTAAATGACAGCCATAATTAACACCACAATTCCATGGGACAAGGCAGGGGTGGGGCTGAGTCCTAAGTAAAGGGCTGACAGTGCTACGATGGCTCTGAATGAAGTCTTTTCATTTTCACAGTGATAAATTGATCTTAATGTACACTATAAAAACACACATAACTGTGAGTTCTATGATTTTCCATTTATGAGAATCATAAAAAGTCTCATCAGTAAACAGATGCACTTAAATAAAAATGGCAGCAAGCCCCTGCCTGGGAGACTCAGAACTACAGCAGAGGGCCTTGGAGCTGCAGCCGGCGTGCCCGCTGGGTCTCCTGGGACCTGTGGGGTCCCAGATCCCCCACTTAACCGCTTAATCTCTAAGTGTTTCATCTCTCTGAACTGCTGTTTCTCCCTCTGCAACCTGGCAGGGACCACTCGAGCTCAGCTATTTGCATCTTCCCTTCCAGCTTCCCCACCCGCAACACACCTGGAGGTGGGGCTGAGATAAGAAACCTGTTCCGTGTGTCCTGGAGGTCTGGGTTGATGGCACCCACCTCCACAAGGAACTGCCTTCTCTCCCAACACCAGAGTCAGCTGCTCTCCAGGGATCAGCAGCCTCCCAGCCTTTGCAATCTCTGGGCAGGGAGGGGTCTCTGTCACTCCCTGCAGAATGGAAGCCTGGCTTTGCTCATTGTCACCTGTATCAAAGTTCCAAGGAGAGGAGGCATGTCTGTGATTCCAGAGGTCTGAACCCTTAGCCAAAGCCAGAGCAGTAGGCAGAATAAAGCATACCTAGGCCTTGCAAATCAATTCCACAGCCTCGTGCCGGGAATCTGTGCACTCTTGATCTGACATGGTGAAGGGATCACACAATTGTGATTAAACTAAAGGCTCTTGAGCTGTGGGCCTGGCCTGCACATGGGAGCCCAGTATAATCAAAGATCTTCGTGAGTCAGGAGGAGTGCTGGAATTGGAGATGGTCTGGGAGGAGCCACACTGCTGGCTCTGAAGGCAGAAGTGGCTGAGAACCATGGAGTGGAGTATGGGCAGAGACTCAGGGCTAGAAAGCCTCCATGGGATCCAACAGCAATACAGTCCATTTCAGACTTCTGCCCCCAGACGGCACCATAGCAAGTCTGCGCTGTTCTCAAGTCACGATGACTGCGGGGATCTGTTACAGCATCGCAGCACACTGACACCTGTACCAGTCTACACCTGTACCAGTGAAGCCTTGGACACCCTGATGATGCTGGAGCCCCAGCACCACCCACAAGGACCACAGTGCCCGGCCACACAAGTGCAGGCCTAGAGCTTCTTCCTGTGTGCCCCTGGGCAAGCCATAAGCTTCTCTGAGCCCCACAATGTGTGAGGACTGAGAGAGCAGGCACACCATCAGGAGGCCAATGGCAGGTGCACTGCTGCTTATGCACTGCCCTTTGCTGCTACAAACACCTCCACCCCTCACCCAAGCTGGCAGAAGCAGCCCACAGTTCCAGCACCACAGCTGCTCCTAGAAGGCTCGACCTCTGATGAGGGAATTTGTTGTGTTTCCCTGGCTTCCAATTGGACTCCCTTTTCTGCCATTCTGGCCGGCAACTCAGCGTGGGGATGTGCTGCCGGAGCAGGGCGGGGGGCATGAGAGCAAGGCAGGTGGCTGCTTCCTGAAAAGGTGAGTGACTTGGTGAAGCCGAGAGACACAAATAAACCTCCCTCTTCACTGACCCCTTCCCCCCCCAACCTGCCTGGAAGTAAACATAAACCTGCAACAGCCATTTGACAGAGTGAAGCCAGAAGCAGGAGAACTCTGTCCTTTTGGTGACACAACCCACAGAAAGGGCCTCGGAGCAGGAGCGGCAGGCCCACAGGCAGTGCCCATCACTGTTGACCTCCCTTCCCCATTCAGCTCATGTGGGGCCCCTGGGGATGGTGGTCTGCTGCAGGGCACGTGGCTTGGCAGCAGCAGAACCACAGCTCAGATCTGCCTGGGTGACAGCTGTTTGTGAGGCCTGGTGGTAGCCAAGGGCAGCTCGGAGCTCTTGCCCTCTCTCAGGGAGGGGCTCCCACGTGCCCCATGCCACTCATTCATCTTCCCACTGAAGTTCCCTGGCCTGGGAGACCCTCCTAGCTGCCCTCACTACCCTCCTGCCTTTGGGGTTAGTGGCTGGGATCTTTCAGGGCCCAGGCTAAGGCCAAAAGCCTAGAAGTATGAGAACCCACCAATGGGTAGTTAGTCCTTGTCCCCAACAGAGCCTGCTCACCAGGGCTCTGGCCGGGGCTGAGCCTAGGGGATCCTAAGATCTCTCCCAGGTCCCCTAATGAACAGATCTACACCTTGACCTCTGAGGACCAGCTAGGAGAAAAGCAAGGTTCTCCAGTGACCAGCCAGTCCCAAGGGCAAGCAAGGGCCTGAGGACCTGAGGCCATCTCTGGAACACTCCATCAAGGAGGCTGTCCCTCAGCCAGGCTGTCCAGAGCTCTCTGGCTGTCCACAGGGGCATAATCACAGCATACAGAGGGTCCCAGGGTGCTGGCGTGCACTGTTGGCAGGGTTGGCAGCCAGCAATAGTAGGACAGCCGTGCCGTGGTCTCTAGCTGAAGACCAGCAAATGAGCTCCCCAGCCCCCAACACTCCAGACCAAGAGTGATGTCACAGCCTTCCATGGGGGGAGCAGAACACGGGACCCAGAGCTAGGAACCGGACTCCTCTCCTGCCTCTACCTCCCCCTGAGCCGTTGCCTGGGGACTGTCAGTCTGTGTCCAGGGTTGCTAGGAGCCCTGGAGGTGACTTCCAGGAAGTGTCTGTCTCTAGTGGTGCCTGTCCTCCCACTCCCAGGGAAGGGCTGAGCAGATCCAGGCCCACTGCACCCCATCACCACCACCACCACCACCACCACCATCACCACCACCACCACCACCACCACCACCACCACTGAGAAGTCCTTGCTGCCGGCAGAAGTGCACCTGCTGGGAACACTACCTTGAGGATTACCTCACCAGGGCATTTCCCGCAGGGAGGGGAATTTTATTTAGTCAAATAACAACAACAACAACCATCAAGCAACAAAGAAGGGTAGGCCCTGCAGAGACCCACCTGCGGCCAAAGTCGGGGTTTAAAAAGAAAAAATAGCAATGAGCAGAATCACTACAAGCAGTTTAACAGTTTTTGCCAGTGTAGAAGCTGTAAACGCTTCTAGTAAACCTACAGCCTTCCTGATTTAAAGGGGACAAGTTCTGTAAAACCATACCTTTGACCTATTGTCCCAACGTCCTTCTTCCTACCAGAAATGGAGATGCAATGCTTGGAGGGATGGCAGCCATTTGGGGAACATGAGGACAAAAACGCTAAAGCTACACATTAGGAGCATCATGAAGGCTTGTGCCAGCCCTGCATGTCCTTCCTCGGGAGCATGTGGGACTAAAGAACCTACCAGACCCTCTGCTCTCATTAACCTGCTTGACCAGACCTGTGGTGCAGGTGCTCGA